AAAAAATAACAATAAAAATAATAATAATAATGCATACATAAATATTTATATATTAGTCTTAAAAAAATATTATCAGTTATAATGTCCATAATATTGTTTTGTTTCCACTTTTCAGACTTAATAATTATAATTATAAAACACAACATAAACATGTCCTTAGCATAAATATATYAATTAATGGTATTCTTACCAGATGATTGCACATTTGTGTCCCCTGGATTATTACTAGGTAAACTATTAAATGGCGGACTAGTACCTAAGCTATGTAGTCCAGCCTGAGCGATACCACTAGCTGTATTAGTACCCTCTTCAGAAGTCCGCTTGAAGAAGTTATGTTGCAAAGCATAATATGGTGTAATTCGTGTTTTTGGATCATAATCCAGCATTCGTACTATAAGATCCTAGATAATTGTATAAATTACGTTTTAAAATATATCAAAATATAAATTTATCATCAAATTAGAAATACTTACTTTAAATTTAAGGTAGTCAGAAACTGAATGCCCTGGTTCACCTAACCGCCTAGCATAAGGACCCCCAGTTTCGACACCTAATATATCATGTAATCGTCGACCACCTGGATTCCTGTACTTTTTAGCATCTTTAGGTTTTTTTAAGGTATACGAATCAACACCAGGCAACTTATCAAAATATTTGTGAGCTTTCTGAGCCTGGTCAAGTATATGTTTGGGTGGCATGCCAAGAACTTCAATGATTTTATTCATCTGATCAACCTGAAAAATATAAATCAGTAAAATAATGCTTTATAATTTGGATTTTYAATAAAACATACTTCATTTGTTCCACTAAACAAAGGTTCTCCGGTATGCATTTCTACTAATATGCATCCTAAACTCCACATGTCAATAGCCAGATCATAAGGTATACCCAGCAAAACTTCTGGTGAACGGTAAAAACGAGATTGAATATATTGATATATCTGTAACAAACAATTTAAACATTAAAATGATTGAGTATAAATGCAATTATTGCAACTAACTCTTTGGCCAAGTTGACAAGATGAGCCGAAGTCTACTATTTTAATAGCTGATCTTTTGGGATTGCACAACAATATGTTTTCTGGTTTCAGATCACAATGTATGATGGACAGGTCCGGTGTGGACAGGAACAACAGAGCCGTGCACAGTTGAGCAGCAAATTTACGTGTAAGATTTAAAGAAACACCTTTAAAATTAGTGTTCCTAATCAAATCATACAAGTTATAAGATAATAACTCAAACACCAGGCACAGATGATTACGCCACATAAAATGACGCTTGAGTTTAACTGTAAATAATTATCATAATTCATTTTAATTTATTTACCGACCCAGAAATTATAATATTTTTCACATACCAATATAGTATTTGTTGTCAACATCAGCTCTATTCATCATTTCTAATAGTCTTACTTCAATTTGAGCTTGATTTAGGAATGGTTTTTTGTTCTTTATTATTTTAATTGCTACATAACAATCTTCTTCTTCGTCACGAGCCTTAACAACCTAAATAAATTAAAAAATTGTTTTCTTTTCTTTGACTGCCAATAAATATTTAATCAAATAATGCTTCTTACTTGTCCAAATGACCCTTTGCCTAGCAACGATATGATTTCATAGCGATCCAAAAATTTTTCACCACTTCTAATTATATAATCATGGTTATCATCATCATGACCATCATTATACACTCTTCTTTCTTTTTTATTGGCTACAGGACCTTCAACGGGGGCTCCATTATTTTGAGGTTGACTACTCAACCCAACTGCTCCACCACCAGCTCTTTTTTTTTTCTTAGCATAGTATACCTAAATAAATATGAAACAAAATAATGGATTAAATAAAAACAATAGAAAATTAGAAGAAAAAAAAACATACGAAATCCAAAATTTTTTTAAACATGTATATTTTATTGACTTCACTAAAATATAGATTAAAAACACATTAAGCAATAGTTATTAAAATGATTTTGATAATGGAACAAAGTAATTATTATTTATAGTAAGTGTTATCTTAATATTTAAAACCTGGTTATTATGATTAAATAAATGATCTTTGACATTTTAAAATTTAATATATTATGTAAGTCATATACATTTAAAGGTACTTAATAAATAGCATTAGGATGGAAAATATATTGTTTTAACTGAAAAGCAATATAGATTATCTAGAAAATAATTTCTATTTTAGTATAGTTAAACAAAATGAACAATTGGTAATAAGCAATAAATATAAGCATTTCTATTTTTGATACTAAAACTTTGATTATTAGACATTAACCATTGAATATTGTAATTTTTAGATAGCATATTGTTATAAATCTACAAAAAAAATATAATAAATGAAATGATTATTCATATTATACCTCATTAATAAACTTATAAGTCTTGATCAGGTCCACCGAAAGCTTTCTCAATGGAGCTGTTGACGGATCTCGAAAATGAGGTGGTATTCTTGCTTGCATTGCATGGATATCAGCGTGCACTGGAGCAACACCACCAACCATTGGTAATTGATCTTCAGCAACAAGTCTTCCATACAAAGGACCACCGCCAAAACCAAAGTTACTGTCTTGGGATCCTTGCCCATGATCTTGATAAAATAGTAATAAAATATTAGTATGTTGCAGACATAAAGGTAGTACTCAAGAAATTATTTAAATCTATCTAAAAATAATACCATATCCTTACAAAAAATATTTTATTTTAATGTGGAGGTACACATTTTAATTAAGAAAACATTTTTTTTTTTTTTAGTATATCCCTGGCCGGGGAGTGGCAGTCTCATTACCCAAGTTAGAACCGACGCCACTCCACCCCGAAAAATCTATTATACCCACAGATTAAAAGTTACCCTTAAGTAATATATTTATACTGTTATATAATACTAGATACCGTTTACTAACAATTAAATGACTTTGTTCCATAGCTCATTTCCTTAAAGCTGATCATTAAACAGTTATTTAAAAAATAAAAGGAAAAATAATATACAGAGCAAGGTCWCAACACTAAGATTAACCTGACTGTTAAATGATTTATTTTTAATTGTTTGCTACATGCAGAAGGTATCAGTCATAACCTAAAATATTAAAATAAACAATTATCTAATTGCGCTAACACTMAAAAAATTTCAAATTTTACTTTTCGGAATGATCTTTGGTGCCAGTTTAAAGTTATCAGTCACATTTTAAATTGTTGTATATTTAAACAAGCTTTATAAATTAAAAATATATATAGGTACATTGAACATCTTCTCCAAGTAGAATTTGGAATTTAAAACGTGTAGACTGATTAACAAGACTCTATAAATAGTTTCGACAGCACAGCAAATCTATTTTTAGTATGTGTCATCTAATCCCCAACCATATGCCTGCCAGTGAATTGATTRAAACATACAAGGAAGAGAAACCATTTCAAACAATTAACTGATTTCGAGACTGATATTGATCAATAATCTAAACATTGATCTATTTAATATCAAAAATAGATAATGAAATAATATATTTTGCACAAATTTAATCGGTTTATTACTTACATAATAAACTTATAATTTACAAAACATAGATAATAATAGGAATTTGAAATCATTTGTAACACAAATCACATATAAATTTAATATTAAATACAATTATTTTTTAGTGAATCACATGCTATGTGTGAATACACATAGGTACTACACAATTGTTTAAGAATCATACAACAGTTTTAAATAATAAAATAAATTAAGTCAACCTTATATTCTAAATGTCTAAGTATCCTGAATATGACTAATTAAAGCAAACCATAACCTTAGACACAATTTCTGGTCAGATACTAACATTCTACAATCTGGAAAGTAAAGATATAGGTATATAAATCACCAATACAACAACCAAATTAACAAATAGGTAATTACCAACTTTTAATATAATATTTATGTAACTATTTTTCATTCATTATGTATTAATTTTGATTCTGTTATGTYGTACTAAATAATTAGTATATATATATAATATACATATACATATACAGTGAAAACTGTTTATAACGAAACTCGTTACAATGAAAAACTCTTTATTACGTAAATAACATTAAGTTAACTTATAATGGTTGGTTTGATTTAAAACTTGTTTAAAACCTATTAATGCCTATTAATTACTTTCTATTACGAAAACTCTTAATAACGAAAGAAATCCCATGRTCCCTTCAGATTCGTTATAGAGAGTTTTCACTATATATGGTGGGGGATTATCTTACCATACTCAATGTGTATACCTCACACAACATCAGTCTATATACTGTTGTTTCAATAATAAACCCGTATTAATAATTTATATAATTGTGAGCCTGGGCATTTRATTCACATTAATACAAGGATATAAAAAATTGGTGACAAAGRTGGGATATTAATACTTATAGGTTTTTATAAGTCAAGAACATATAATTCACTATGTAAAATAAAATAAAATAAACTGGTCTGAATTAAACTACTTATCTTACACATTTATAATGACAGTAAAAAAAACCCGTAATRAGTAACAGCCAGTTCACATGTTGTTTTATGACTCTAATAAAACTCAATTTTCAATTTTCATTTTATATAATTACAAAAGTATGTAAGTATTAAACTATTATATTATCATTAAATATTCAAACAATCAATATCAAAAAGCTGAATATAAATTGTATATTCAATGCTAATAGAAATTCAGTTAGGTACCTACTGAGAACTCAAAGATATATTTTATTAGCTATCACAGTACTAAACTAGTACAATTTTTAACATAAATGTTTGGTATCTAAAATGCATTATTTTAAATTTTTATCATCATTTAACAGTTATTTCTACATTCAATGATTAATGAATGATTAACTTTGACCAMTTGAGCACCAACACAGAACTCTAGGAGTATTTGCAATTATTTCACACAATTAGGTAGATACACATATTGAATTTCATTTAGTTTATTTTCATATAAACACCATATAAATATTTTTTTATGACAGTGGATGTCGATAAACTGGTCTTGTTTTTTATATATATAAATATTAATCAACTCTCTTTTAGGTGAACAAGTATTTAAAACGAGATTTAAAGTATCTTTTTCATCATACCCAAAAACCGATTCTTTAAAGGAAAGCATAAACATAAAATGGAGAAAATATTAGATAAGTCCCTAGCATATTAGGGAGCATATTATAAAAAAACAACAAAACAAATGATTACATCATGCAATTGTTAATGCCAATGTTTAAAATGTAATCTATAGTGCTATTAGTAGTTGGATGATTGCCTACTAATTTCTAACATATAGGTCTTAATGTGGGTATAAGAGAATGTGTGACTTTACACAAATTGAATTATGGCAGATAAGCAGCATTTGCTTAAAAAAAAACGATAGCAATACAATTTAATTATCAAAACAGTTGTCTAAACATATGGTGTTGTGCGCAGAATTCATTGTATTCAAATGTAACCAATCATTCAAGGACGCTTTCAACATCTGGTAAAAAAAAAAACTGTTTCAAAACACTGATCAGAACAAAATTCAGCTAAAGACACAGTGCCATGACAAAGGTTGTCAGGGCAATACCTAAATAGTTCCTAACTGTAGTGAAAGATCAACGTCTGTAAATCTCAAAAGGAATCGCACATTATCAATGAAGGACATTACTCAATTTCATAGGCGTTACACTCACTTTTGTTTTTCTGCTTTTCGACCATCATGAACGGCTCATGCTTATGCCAACTTTCGGCTTGCTTGGCACCGTTGCTGCCGTCCATATCTCGATTGGTAGCCGGCAACGCTTTGCCGGATTTTCAAGTACACCATCCATAAAAACGCATTGTGTCACAATGGTAGTCTATCCGAAATCCGGTTGGGGAGGGGGTCTGAGTGTGATGTCAACGTTTGGTTAGACTCTGGACAAACAAAAAACTTGATAGATAAATGACAAAACATAACTCGGGGACGAGACAGTGACCAACGGACAGTGTCCAGCCTGCGCGGTTACGAGGTTTTCTGTGACCCAATAATAGTTAGATAAGAACACCCGTGTCGAGAGTGGTCAAAGCTCGTCAACAATAATAGTACGGCGTGCAAGTGAACACTTACACGACCAACAGAAGTGACGGTCAACGAGTGTGCTGGTCACGGACTCACAAAACGCCSGTGGTCGTGGCCGCTGAAGCTGGCAGACACCACTATGCACGGTTTCTGACCGACGTGAAGCGCGGCGTCACGACGACGGTGGGCATATGCCCTTTTTAGGCGGTATCGCACGTCGCCCGGCGGTAACGCGACATCATGTAACGACGACGGCTTGTCGCACTGCGCGCACGTACGACACACAATAACGTTGTCGTTACACCGTCAGTCCCTTCGGTCGGCGTGTCGGGTCTGCTATTCGTAACTGATGTAACGACAAAACACAAGCACGAGGGGATCTGTAGTGCCGACGACCGCGAACCGATCACCACCACACGGACGAACGGCGGCGGCCACCGACGACACGGACAATCGTAACCGTAAGAGCACTGCACCAATAGTTACGGAAATGCGGCACGTGACGAGTCAGCATAATATTTCAAGACAATATAATATCATACATTTATACAACCCAATAACGTTGTTAATTTATCAAGTATTTTTTTTTTTTAATACGCGTTACAACAGAGATGATGATGACGAAGATGAAGATGAAAAGTCGTAAAAATTGAAGAGAAGAAAATAACGTTTAAGCAATATTATCTTATGTATTAATATTGAATCGAATGTCCGCTGGTCGCGACACGGCGGGTGCGGAGCGATATATTATTTTCAGTTTTTGATAGTTTTATATAATAATAGTAATAATAATAATAATAAATAAATAATAACAAATAATAATATACGACGCGTTATCGCTCACTGCCGAGTGCTAACACAGTAACACACACGAAACGCACGCACGCACAGACACCGTGGTCATGTATATGTATATTGCCGTCTGTATTATAGTCATCGCCCGTCGGGTGGTCGGCGGTGTAGTGTGGTCGTCTGGACTAAGTGACGAACGGGCGGCAGCGGTTGCGTCGTACGCTCGTACGCTTGTATTTTCGTACCAATGTACCACACTACCAGTTTACCACACTACCACCGCTTGCCCAGCAGCTATATAGCACCGATATAGATACTAGATATCTAATATCCGTGCTGTATAGCGAGTTGCTCACTCTTGCAAGTCTTTCGCTACTCGCCGTTAGCATTACAAACTTTCCTGGTTACTTGAAGTTTAAAGTTTTAGTTACCGGCCCGCTGCATTATCGTTGTCACGATAAGCGAGTATGCGGGCACACAAGGCAAACATTTTACATCGAACTTTCCTATAACTTTATCCTCGTCACGAATTCGCAACTTGAATTTGTTGTGATTTATTGATGTTTCGACTGTCGTCCCGATGACCGGATTCAGCCACGACATACAATCACTCCCTTATTTTTTTATTTTTCTAGCACTTAAATTCCATTTTTCGGGAAGGATTTTTCAAAATTAATTTCCTGTTGGAAGTTGTTTAAAACATGGGATACGTCCGACGTCCCAGTCGTCCCACTTCTTTTTAGGAAGCGTCCCGTCATTCATAGGTAATAGTGGGTAAAACGGCTATCGCCGTTGGTCGGCCGAGCCGCCAGACCACTCGACAGGACCAATGGAGTGCGCCGTTCGATACTTTGATGAGCAGTCGAGAGTGATGCGACGTGCTCACAGACTAGGTGCTGCCATCTGACGGTCGGTGGTTCCGCGGGCAGTCTGTCATACATCGCCGCTCGGCAGCGGTGTGTTGTAAAAATAGCACCATTTTATTATGTATGAAGCACAGAATAGATTAAGATTATGTATAATAAATTTAAATACCTGTGGTATGAATTTTATATCCGAGCTACAAGCCCACAACCACGGTATAGATGAAGTAATCACATCTTGGTAACAATATTGAACCCATGATAATATTATCGTGGTAGATAACGTTATTTGACGATAACACTTTAACACGATTTTTGAATCGCGCCTCGCGGTTGTGCTTAAAAAATAAATACTTCCGAATTTAACAATAATTACTAAAATTTTGAAGTTAATTTCGTCCCAACAACAAGATGTCTCGTCCGGAACATTTAGCTCCCCCAGAAATTGTAAGTTTAGTATATTATTTAATAATTATGAACAATCTTATATATTAGGAATCGCGGAGAAAAACCCCAGTAAAAAAACACACCAAGGAAAAAAAGTATAACAAATACCTATAGGCAATTTTATTTGTGATTAGTAACACGTGAGTGTACTCTGTAAGTTATCACTCATCGTCACTCGTTTTTAATACAATAAATTACATAAAATCCAGTTGTCTAAACTTTAAATACTTATAACTCATTAACCACTAGCCCTATTTAGAATATGAAATTAAAACTTTATGTTGTCAATCATAAAAGTAAAAAACTTTTAAAAAAATAGGATAAAATGGTAAAACGGTTTATAAGTTTTCACATTTATATTTATATTTCTAGGTTTTTTTTCCTTGGTGTGTTTATTTTTTTGGGCTTTTTTTTTGTTATGTTTTTTGGGGGGTTTTTATTTCACTTACCATATCTTATATATAAACATGGGGTAATTGCATATTTGAGCATTTGCATTATTATAAGATATTAATTTATATTATGTCACATCTTAGCAATTAACTGTTATATTTATAAAGATAATCACTCATGTTTAGGAATTTATTTACACACTGCATATATTTTAAACATTCTTAACAATAAAATAATTTCAATAAAAAATGTTTGTTTCTTGTTCAACAGTTTTATAATGACGATGAAGCACGGAAGTATACCCAAAAGTAAGTAGCATTTGCGTATTTGTTACTCTTTTGTTGTAACTTCTTGTTAACAATTCAAACAAATATGTTAAAATAATTATTTTTAGCTCTCGGATGATTAACATTCAGTTAGAAATGGCTGAAAGATGTATGGAATTGTTGATGTTGCCAGAAGATGAAACATGTTTGCTATTAGATTTAGGATGTGGTTCTGGTCTGAGTGGTAGTGTTGCTGAAGAATCTGGTCATATTTGGTTTGGAATGGACATTTCAGGCTCCATGTTAAGTATGTTGTATAATTTATCTATTTTATTATTTTTAATTTCAATATGACATGTCATTTATATTTGACTTGAAATTTATAAACTCTGTTATGTTTTACAAATATATATATTCAGACATTCCTTGCACAATGATTTTTAAAATAAAATTCACAAATGTTAAAACATACATTTGAAAAAATCTTTTAATGTATTTCATTACAAATTTACTATTTATAATATTAAATTAAATTATCTGTTTATCAAATTTAAAAATAATAATTTTATGTGAAATGTACTTTCAAATTTTGTATTTTTAATGAGATAAACATTAAAACATTTGTAATAAATTACACACCGTGCTTTAAATTTGTATAATAATTTTATAGTATTAAAAAAAAAAAAAACAAACAATGTTGTATACCATAATAATAAATTTCAAAAATAAAATAAAAATTGAATTATTTTTAATATTGAAATACAGAAACAAAATGAGTTGGAGGTATTGTTTTAATGCTATCTATCATTATTTACAATGCATATTTATTAATTTTCAATTAGAAGTAGCAAAAGAAAGGGAAGTTGAAGGTGATTTATTGTTGGGAGACATTGGTGATGGAATTCCATTTCAACCTGGTACATTTGATGGTGCATATAGTGTAAGCACATTACAATGGTTATGTAATGCAGATAAATCATCACATAAACCTGCCAAAAGGTTATATACTTTGTTTTCAACATTATTAGCTTGCTTGGTAAGTAACATTTGCAGTATAATTTTTAAGCAAATAAATAGAATATAGATATATATTTAAATATTAATTGTTTAGGGACGCAATGCGAGAGCAGTATTTCAATTTTATCCAGAAAATGTACATCAAACAGATTTAGTTGTATCCCAAGCGAGAAAAGCAGGATTTTTTGGAGGATTGTTGGTAGATTTTCCGGATAGTACTAAAGCTAAAAAATATTTTCTTGTATTGATGACTGGTGGTGCTATGCCCATGCCTCCAGCACTTGGTACAGAAAATTCACAAATTAGTTATACATCAAAAAGGTAATAATTGTACAAATATCTAAGTGATGTAATATTTGATTTTTTTTAATAATGATTTACAGGGAAAAAATGACAAAAGGACGTGCTTCAAAATTAGTAAAAAAAAGTAGAGAATGGATTTTAGAAAAAAAAGAAAGGAGAAGACGTCAAGGAAAAACTACTAGAGAAGATACCAAGTACACAGGTCGATCAAGGAGTGGACGATTTTAATTGTACACTTATTTATATTTCATCTATTGCAATAAACTCTGTAATTTATTTAAGGATAAAACTCATAATTTAACCATCTTTTACTTATTGAGTCTTCTCTGATTACTGCTTATATCATCATACTTTGTACAGTTGTACATCAAGTCAACTTTAATATAAACTATAAAGCCAATATCATTCTTTTTGTGCATTTCTTTATTATTAAATGCTGGGTCACTGATTTTGGAGCATATTTTTGTATATTTTTTCTATTCTACATTTTAAGATAATAAGATCATTTCCAAAATAAAAATAAGCTATTCCAGTATAGTTCTCAATTCCTCATTAATTTATATCATGTATAATGAATAATAATATTTAACATTTATTTGTCATTTGAATTTTTAAACTAGTATGGTTTGCGAAGATCTAAATTCTAAGAAAACGATCCATCATAATATTATTATATGAAATGTTATCATCAAAATTCACAGTGTAGCCAAACTCAAAAGCCGTTTCTGATACCATAATTTTTCCAAATTACCGCGATTCGTGCAGATGCAATAAAGTCGAGTATACACTTATACAGTAGTTGTATAGTGTATACTACGATACTACAGAATCATTGTGAGTTGTGATTGCTTTGTCGTTTGCCCGGTCATATGATAAGTCTCTTTGTGTGGTGATCCGGTGATCGACCGCCGAGTTGAAAAGGAAGGTAAAACTGTCGTCGCCGCACTAAAGAATAATCAGCCGAGTGAACGGTGAAAGTCAGCGCACTGTGATTCGTCTTAGAGCGATTCGTGGTGAATACTGACTGAGACTCTGTCTCACTCAACGCGCTTATAGCGCCCAGTCGACACTCGTCGATAGTGCGACTACACGTCCTGCCGTTTGTTGATCCGTTAAAATTAATATTTCGTATACGACAAATGGTGCGGTAAACGAAGAGCTACTTATGCGACCAGTGCCGGGCACTTTGAGTTGTGCCGTCGCGCGTCTGCACGCCCGGAAGGTAAATACCGACATCGAATACAACCACCCATTTTGAACGATCGTTCACTACGCACTTAACAAATGTCTTGTGACAAGTGTACATGGACGTTTTGTAAACTAATGCAATGTGATCGGACGGTTTACGTCCCCCTCGAAACGCTCTTCGTGCCCACGATTTTTAATTTTTAATCGATTTCGTCGGGAAAAATCGCTTACCGATTAGGTAATGACGTTCTGTGCGTCTGTTTACCTATAGACGTTTTACTATTAACGACCACTGAACCTGAAAATGGAATTGCGTTTTTGTGGCATTTGTCATCGTATTCGTGTACGAGACGTCCAKTTTGCAGTCGGTGGTTTCGAGTCCACAATAGGGGTAGGAGAACCACCCCTATCGCTTTGCTTTGTCCACACCTTGTTGGTTGTTTGATTTCCTTTGATAATAATTTGGTGGAATTTAAAATAAGGATAGATACAAAGTGTAGTGATTTCAAATTTTATGATTTATAGGTATTATTATTTTAGATAAATTTTTATTGTCACCACACCGTACTTAGTAAGAGTTAAATTGCATTTGGAGCTTAAAATTTTCCTTAGTTTGAATAATGTTCAATTGCATTAATTTATCAACTCTAATTATGTGTTGCATTTTTTAATTGATCATACATCTAAACAATCTTTTAACTCAATCTTGTTAATTGTTCTCCCTCATTTACATCAATTCTAAATTACCTACATTTACTTTTAAGCATTGCTTAAATATTTAAAATAGTTATTTGTATATATTTTAATCAATGACATTAAATATCTTACAATTTAAATCACCTAAGTAAGGATATGAAAGAAAACCAATTGCATATTATCAGTGGCGCCCAAGATATATTTTTCAAGTATAGCAAGAAATAATTTTACCAATCCATCCACAAACTCAAAATTGTATTATTTTGTCATATTTTAATGGATAATATTAGTAAATAGGTACCAACCACTATGATAATTAACGAGTAATTAATAATGAACATATTTCAAGTTGATAATTGTATGTTATTATATCTACTCATCCCTTATTTTCAAGGTGTAACGATCGCTAAACTGAGTAATAGGGTTGGGCGCCATTGCATATTATTGTACCAATTAAGTACCTTATACTGTTTTTTAGACAGATCTGGTAGATAAGATTCATTTTTATGATAGTTTATAACATATCGTTAGTAGCTATGAACATAGTTCTTTTTAATTATTTGCATAATATAGACCAAGGATGGGTAACTGGAGGCCTGCGTACCTTTTTTATCTGGCCCGCACTACATTTTCATATTACTTCATATAAAACCTCATCCTCAAGTATCACATTAAATTATAATTGTAAATATAAATAAATAAAGATAAAAAATAAATGTTAGTAAATTTGAAGGACCATTTTTTTTTTTTTGCTTTCTCCTATGCACTGCAGCGTCTGCAGCCCGCTAGATTTTAAAGTACTTAAAAGTGGCTCGCTAGTTACTTTGAGTTGCCCATCCCTGATATAGACTATAGCCTATAGTATACCTATAGTAATGTACAATAATAGATAAGCTTAGTTCACTCCTTGAAACAATATATAATGTGTAATTTTAAATGAAGTAACTAGGTATTGTTTGTGTTATTGGGTAGTAACATATTATAAATTACAAATTACTTTTGTAGTAGTACTGTAGGTAATAATTTCATTATATTTCATTTAAATTAACTCAATTGTAATGAAATTATTTTTTTAGTTGTGATTTCTATTGAATAATGTGTCATTTTTTATTTTATTAAAATAATTTACAAAAGTAGAATTTATGACAAAACCTAGGGACTAGAATAATATACAATAAAATTTAAAAATCAACTACATTTTTTACAATTTTTAAATAACAATCAAAAATATATCCTTATCTATTATTAAAGATTCCAGAAATTARTACTCATACATGTTGTTCATGTATAACATTAAGTCATTAACATTTTATCATCATCATCAATTTATACTGCTATACAATTTATAAACTAGTAGACCTACTGCTTATTTGTTCAAAGTAGTTACATGAACTGATTTTTTAATTAAATTTTAATTTTAAAACGAATACCTAATATAATTTTATTAATTTTCAAAAGGAATTTATCAAACACTGATAATAATAATTTGTCTAATAGATAATAGATAGAAACATTTTTCATAAATAATTCATAATCTATTGCTGCCTCCTTGTGCTGAGTTGAGCGATTTGAGACAAGTAATTTATATCCAGATGAATGTCCATTAAGTTATAAGCAAATTTTACAAACTTGATATTTGATTAAACCGTTATTTATCTCATATTATCAAACCATATTTACTGTTTAAAGGTAGTAGTTTTTCTATATTTTAATATTAAAGCATAAACAAGTAGGCTTTTTGTATAGTATAAATATTATAATTTATGTTTAAATCAGAAATAGACAAAATATGTTTGTTATGACAGTATTTTTTATCAATTTTTTATTAAATTTTGTAGTTTTACAAAAATTGATTATTTGTGTTTGCTAACATTTAAATAATTCTTATCTATTTCTTATAGAAAATGAAGGGCAACAAAGGGTATCAATTTGATATGTTTTTATTGAAATACGTATTATCAAACATTATCTGTATCTATTAGATCTTTTATATATAATCGTATTGTATTGTTCACACAATTCCTAATTAGTAATTACCTATGAACTCATGTTAAAACTAATTAAATAAAGACCTTTATTAAATACTTGGAAAAAGTATGATTTATGTTTGATGACTAATTTAACTGATTATCATATGATCAAATATTATAATCTAATATGAACATTCTTTATTTAGTTTAGAATGGATAAAGGAAACAAATTCATTCGGCCATTAGGATTCAGGCGACGAACCAGATCTGCCAGTAGCGTTGGTATGTTACAAAATTACATAGATACCATATTCGTTCCCATCAAAATTATTTTCTATATGTTCTAGCATATCCTGACAATAAAGCTCAAAGTGATGACTCCAGTAGTAATTCCAAAGATGTAGGAGTGTCTAGTATTTATCATGTAAGTACGCTTAAATTTCCACAGATGTCAATTTTTTGATAAGGTCTAATAATAATATAATTTATTTTGAAAATAGAGCGATTCAGATGATATAAGTGGTGCTCCACAACCAATTCGATTTGCTTTATTATCAAAAAATCTAATGCATTTGGAATCTGATTCAGTCAATGAAAACTTTACCCCAGGAAGGCCATTCACTAGAAGGTTAATTAAAATAGTTAATCACATTTTATCAAAGTTGATTATTGATAAAATATTAACATTTATATTGAATGCTCTTATTATTTACAGAAAAAGAAAATTCAAAAAGATGATTGTTGATCCAGATGTAAAGTTCCCATCACAAATGACTAGTAGTTATTCTCAAAGTAGTAGCAGTGAGAAAAGAAGAAATACACGTCATTCTGCTAGTATGCCAAGGTAGATACTATTATTGTACATTTTATTGTTTTTTGTTCAGCTAATTTAAATATGATTTGTATTCAAATTAAAAGTACATTAAATTAATTATGACATATGCTTTAACAATTTAGAAACTGTGGGTCATTAATATTGGCTATTGGTAAAAGAAAGCGCAGTAATCGAGAAATTATAGCTGGCCATCAGGGTACTTCAAATATCAAATCAATGGATATTGATGTTGCCAGTAGCTCAAGTAGTATTAGTTCCTCAGAAAGTGAAGCTGGAATTTATACTAATGATGAAGGCAGAGAAGGTAAAATCAATTAATTAGTAAAAGTTATAAATAGTCATAATTTTATGAGCCGTTATTTAATATTTAGGAGATGATGAACAGAGTGATTGGGTTGGTAATGCATGTGGAGCTGGTGGAGTGACTGATGATGATGCTGAACCAATTAAAATTGATTGTCAGAAATTATTATCTGTTAATTTACAAAATAACACTTTAACTGAAGGAAGAGGACCTGGACGTATGCCGATGTGGCATAGAAATACTTTTCTTAAGGTACTAAAAATACTTATTGGTTGTTATTTTGTTATAAACTCATTTATGTTTGGTTTAGAAAAGTGATAGAGAAATTCGTGGAGGCTTACGCAGAGTTCGATCAGTTAAACCTAGTTTCTCTGTTTTGACATCTGCTAATGATAAAGTATCTCGGTTCTTACGGGATCCTGCACAGTCTGAATTAAGGTCTGTTTTACTACTTATTTTCTGTTGAGTTTTGAATTGTAACTAAATGTAGATTACATTTTAGATTGCATCCAATGCCTAAAAACGAGCAAGACCAACTATCACATTTAGCAGAAATGTATTCCCTTCATATGCAACTCAATGACTCGCCAAAAAAAGGAGTGACTCTGACAAAAACTGAGTTAGTGTTTTTATTATGCTATAATTTAATTGTATTAAAATCTTATTACAAATTTATTTTTTAGCAATACAATTCAAGTAGATTTAGAAGCTCCATTTTCGCATCTTAATCCATCAAAAGATCACAAAAGGAAGAAATCTGCATCTTCTGGTAAAAAAAAATAATCACTTGGTTACATAATACGTCTCTTTACATGATATAATCATAGATTTTTACACCATTTCTCTTAATTAAATTTTAACTTAATTTTTATCATGTTAAATTTAATGTGATCTTATGTAAATTGTATACAAATTTAAATTCCTTGTTCCTTTTGTTTCTGTAGATTTAGTAGTAATTTATAATTTCATATATAAATGAATCGGAAAATATGAATTGGTATTTTTTTTTACATAGCAAACATTTGTAAGGACCAATCTTTTAATGATTTATTCTATTATATTTTTTTGGTTACTTACTAATAAATATTGAGTCTATTCTTTAGTATTTACAATGTGTTAAACTAAAAACTATTTATTTAATATGTAATTTTGACAACTTGCATACATTGTACGGTTGCATAATATTTTAACAAATCAGTACAAGTCATAATCTATCAATACCAAAACTCATTTAATGCCTAATTAAAATTTAACTTCAATGATAAATTACTGTTTCAGAATTAAGTTTAGGCTTGCAAGCATTACATAATCAAGCATGGATACCTATTGTTCTAGAAGACAAACCTTGCACATCATCTCAGACAGAAACTTCAAATCAGAACAAGTGATCATTATTACATACTTGTGCCAACTAGTAAGGCTGAAACTCATTGAAAATGCAGCTTCATCACGCTTCTTTTATTATTTATATATTATATATGTAAAATATTATAATAATTTGTTGACATGTAATTTGTGTACCAAAAATGCATGTTAGATAAGAGTAATACCCTAAGTATTACTATTAATGATTGAAACAGTCATTATTATATATTGACTTATTAATTTACCAATCAATTTCAGTCATTATTTTTAAGATGAGTTTATCTATCATATTTAAACTCGGAGGTCGAAATACTCTTGGAACTATTACTTTCTAAATTCTCACTTCTCAGTATTCTTAACATTCTGTTGAACTTTTTTAAATTGTTTTAAAAGTATAGCTTTTTATGTTTAAACTCTTAAAATTGATATTCATTTTAACCTATAACACTCCTTATGTACACTTTTAGGTATTATTTTTATGTTACTATTCCATGTATTTATAATCAGTAAAGTTTTATCATATAATTTACATGCTCATATTCATGATGAACTATTATGTAACTTTATGTATGAATGTGATCATAATTTCTTGGTTTATAAGGCATAACATCATGAAATTACCGTTAAATTATACATTTTAAACAATTATATACACAAATTGTTTTCATTTTTAGACTTAATGATAAGTTATTAATATAACTGATTATTCGCAAAATAAATTGTCTATTATATTCAACTGTCAAAATTTAAATCAACAATAATAGTTGAGAAAATAATTTATTTAATCATGAAATTATTGTAAATTTATACTTATTTTTATATCCAGTTTAACATAATTAAATTGTATTGTTAATAGTTTAATACTTCAAACAGTTCAAACGCGAAATTCCATACACGATAACAATGATATAACTAAAATTAAAACAATATATATGGGTAATGAGTTGGAGAATAATCGTCATTAGTCTGATTAAAAAATACCTAAAATAACATGGTAATCAAATAAAATATTTAAACAGCTGGGAGTTCAGCAGTTATCCTAAAGATGAAAAGAAGTCAACGACTGATAACAATTCGAAAATCAAAAAGCGTTCCCAACCATTACATACAAAAGTCGGCATACACACAAAATATATAGTTATGTAGTTTCATATTATAGTCTGTGGTATATATTTTTAATTTTCTAAACTTTTCTGTAAATACGATCGACGTGTGCGACGTTACAAGGGGCCCCGCGGTTGCTTGTTTATATGTTTAAAAAGAGGGCGAAATAATACTTGCACAAAGCTAGAGCCGGCCCAGAATTAACTAATCAGTAAATCATGGCCTACGATTCTTGTGTACCAAATGATATTTATGGTGTCCATGTCAAATTTCATCGTGTGCTTCTTTCCACAATTTTTAAATCAAATTTAATTGTCACAACAGGTCGAACAGACAAAATTCTTGGGCTTGTGCAAGCCCGAGTAGATTTTGACACTAAACTATAATATTGTATTATTATTGTTTGTCATCAGTGGAGAGTAATAAAACTTTAGGGTATACGCTAATCTATGGATTTTAAATAAAATATAAGTACAGAGTGAATATTTTAATGTTATAAACGCGCAACTTATCAGTTCAATTCTTCCAAAAAACGATCGCTTTTTTCCTCAACAATTATTTCACAGAGCTTTTCGGGAATACATTCTCAAATTCACCAACTTAACTAATATAATTTTTTTTTATGCAATTTTGTATTATATAGATAGCGAGCTGAGCATTGATATGTGGTTTTTTTTGTCTGTACACGATAAGTAGTTGAAATAATGGTTCGATTTTCAAAATCAGTATCTTTACCGATACGTTAGTTGTGCATTTGGGAGGTCGAAATTCCCAGTAGGTAGTTTTCAAAAGCACCATGAAAAACAAAATTAAAATTAAAGGAAAACGGAAATTATCGTAAAATGGTTTTCGACCAGATATGTCATATGCCCATAAACCCCCGTAATCCGTTACCCAATAAAACACTATTGTTTGTCATTTGGGTAACAGCACATCATTGCAATAGTATTTTATGGGCAAAAATAATATCTTCGTCACGCTGGTGGCGGCGCGGTCGTTTTTGAATTTAAGCGGGCTCGTGCTGTTTGGGAATCACTGTTCGACGGCGGGCCAATGGCACGAGCCGAGCATGACGGGCGGGAGACCGCGTGATTTTCCCGCTAAAATCCCTGCGCACAATCGGGACAAAGGCCTCTCCCGAACCGGTCGTCGCCTATGCCGGTTACCGGTACACTCGTCCGCCGACTTCTCGCAAGCCGACATCCGTCCGCAGTTTTACTCCGCTCCGGCGGCCGACTTGTTGTATTGGAATTCGCCTTTGCTCCTCCCCTCGTCTTGCAGCACGAGTGGTCACCGTACCCCGCCAGCCCAGTCACCGCCGCCGCCGTATTACGATTTTTAACGGACAATTGACAAACTGAACCCGTCGCAAGCGATATCCGTAATAGTTCGCAAGTTCGCTCGACTGCTCGAAGCGTATGTCTCCAGCCGAAAGTCGTGTAATCGTTTTCCGAACCGCTGAGTACTGTTTTGTGCTCTTTTTTCTTTTAGTTTTTTGGCGGCAAATCACTGTCACGTCACCGTCCAGGATCATAAAGGTGAGTGGTTTTTGTGATTTTTTTTCAACGGGCCAAGTCCCTTCCTATCCCGTTCGACGGACCACCTCAATTATCTACAATAACAATATTTTAATAATTAATATTATATTCGATATTCAGACAGGTGGTACCGGTACCACGCAAGCATGACGATTTAAAGTACCATGTTGTGGTCAATAAGGTCTGTGGGTAGGTAGGAAAGTTTTTTTTTTAAACGCAATATTAAAGTATGAATAATAATAATAATAACCTAATCGACACTCCCGAGTCTCTGGTGATTAGATTTGTTTTAGTGTTAATCACGGTTTTCAGAATTCACGTTTTGTTTTTATATATAAATCGTAGGCAACTGATTTATTTATTAACGCCTGCACATTACCGCGGTAGTATGATGTAATACTGTATTGGAATACGTACCCACCTGCTTGAGTTTGAGTGTCTGAAGTTCTGAGGTCKACAAGAACATTTTCGTGAATCGGTACTCATGTGAAACTATTTTATTTCATTCGTTCACTGTTTGTAATGATCTACGAAATAGGTTAATCATAATCGCGTTTTATTATCATGCAAATGCCCGCAAATGGTACCTAACGAAACGTATTGAATATTGCACAAGTTATTTATTCGATCACAATACCTTATGGCATTTTCCTGTGAATATGTTTTAAATGATTGTTATGTGTTGTAAATGCCTACCTACCAATTCAATTGAGTAGATATTTTATAGCCCAGTTTATCATTATCGTTTTTAAAGGCATGATCTTTTATTTTAATTAGTTCTGTACATTGATTTTTTTTTTTTTAACAGGTGCTTAAAAGTTAAAGGTAACCTCCCTATCACATTATCACATTATTTTATTTACAATATGTTTGGTGAGGTTACAATAACAAATAACTTACTTTTTAATTTAAATGGATTTATTGTTTACACAGAGAATGTTTACAAACTACCTATCTAATTTTAAGGGCAAAATAAAAAATTGCTTGTCACACAATGTTTGAAATTCACATAGATATAGGTTATTACCTACCTAGATAAATATTTGATTCTTAAAAAAAATTTTGCTGTGTAGGTAGGTACCTAGTTTCAATCTGGTTTCATCTAGTCATATCAAGTTAAAAAAGTCGGAAACAATGTTTTAGTTACCTAATTAAAAATGTCATACATATAGATCTTAGTACCTAGAATTATGTTAGAACTTTTTTATCACTATATCCATTATTACCAATATAAAAACATTTTCATTTGTATACTTAACTGAATACATTCATATATATTATATACATAATATTTATGTTAGTTTCTTCTTCTCTTTTAAGGAATATCCAATTTATGTATCTTTAATTTTATGGTTACTTTCTTACATTTTTATCTTTATGTACTAAAAGTGTGGTTTTCTTATTTGGTAGGTATATTATATTTCAATATAATAGGCATATTCTAATAAATTATTATTGTCTATATTCTACTTGTACTTTCATTATGAATAAGGTAGGTGCTTTTGATAATCTTCCTATTTTTGTTGCAAACAATTTATTTTTCTCTATTTATAGTTATATTTATAACTATTTCAATTTAAGCATGGTATAATGTGGAGTAAGTTGTGAATAATTATCTTATGATAATTAATCTTTATACCTTATGTCACCTATAATATCTTATTCTCGATTGGAAGTTTATTACTTTCCTCCCTTAGATTACCTTTTACTTAATAAGTATTATATTTTTTTCTGAATTGACTAAGTGTAAATATTTATTAATACCTAAACCTTTAACTTTTCTTAATTTTAAATAAAAAATAAAATACTTTTTCAATACAATTTATTTGCTTATACATTGAAATTTCTTCAAAAACATGTGCTTACAAACCAGTTCATGTACACACATTTTGATAGTGGAAGAAGTATCTTTAGTACCTACCGAGATACCTACCTATTAAAATTTAATTTAATTTTATGGAAGAGGCAACTTAATTACTTCAATTTATTTTTAGGCCAAATTCTTGGTTATACATTATCAGAACCACAAATATTTGTCAGTTGAAATCAGATTTCTATTTTAAAATATTTATTTACAGAAAATTCATAGGTACAAACAGTTTTMATCGAGGATTTGATTGAATAAAACAAAATGGAGACACCGCCTTTTAATCCAGAGCCAACCCGCATGATGACCAGAAGTGTTCTAGCTGAGATACCAACTAGGCTAGGGCGATTATCTATGACAGACCCCAATAATGGTAATATATTATTAATATAGGTGTTTACCTTAAAATAAACCTTTTTAATAACCTACATAAATATACTATATTACCATACCTTCATTAGGTTTGGGTCGAAATGATCACCATCTCAATATAATGAATACAACTATAAGTAACTTGCCAACATCAATGATGACGCCATCTCCTAGTCCAGATGAATTAATCATCCAACAAAGGGGCCGCCGTAAAATACCAGTTACTTTTAGTCCTGACATTGATGCCATAAAACAGGTTGGTACAGTTATTCATTTAGTATAGGTAATATTCTATTTTTAATTATCCACATGTTGCCTTATTTTTGTATTTGGGGTTTTTTTTATTATCATTACTTATAACTAACTTTAACTATGTGGTATGGTTTTATGTTTCAATTTTAAACATTTAAATAAATGTATACATTTTATATGAATAAAATATTAATTATTTTTTACCAACCAAATATAAAGTACAAACATTAATTATTAGCCATTCTAGAGACATGTAATTGTTTGTAAAAAATATTGTATATGCTTCTAAATTATAAATGTAGGTTATAATTAGTTAATATTGTTATCTTATAAATACAGAATATTAGATATAAATTACTAATAAGGTTCATAGAGATTAATTATTCATTTATTTTTAATAGGTTTTATTTTTCATACATACCTATCTTAAAATAATTATTGAATTTATGATTAACATAAATATAAATGAGAACCATCTGGTATAATCCCTACATCAGTTTTTAAAATACTAAATTTTAATTTAAAAAATAAGAACTACCTATTAGATGATAATAATCATTAGGTGGGTACATTTGTTTCATTTTTAAATTATATCTATGAATAAAGCTATAACGAATAGTTACTTACAATTTATTTTAGTGTATGAGTAGATATGAAATAGTGTGATTAATTAGATCTATTATTCTCAGATGTTAATAAGACCAATCTATGACCAAATAAGTATTTTCTGATATTTTTATTTTTTTAAATAATGGTTAAATGCTAGTAAATATCTGGAGTCAATTATAATTTATAATATTATTCTGAACTATCTCAACCATAAAATTAAATAAAAATCCATGTAATAATTATTATAAAACGTTCAAAATGATTTTAAATATATCTTTCAAATTTTAAAAGAACTACCTATTAAAATAAATAAAATTTACTCCTTCTAAAATAATCAATATATTTTTGATTTAGGTATAACAAAATAAATAATTTAAAATGAGTCAGAAAAAAATCTCGGACATATCATAACCTCAGCATGTTTGGAAAAAAAATATATTACTAGTAAATTATAAATTAATTTAAAATGTTGATATCTGCTAATAATAATGACAAAAATATTAAATGATAAATATTGATATTGAATTTATTAATTTTTATGTTAACTGTGCACACATAATATTAAAGTGTATTATATATAATATAAATTCTCGTATAAATTTAACCACAGATTACAAAAATCATTGATTATAAATATTTAACACGTAATCAATAGCTAACATTTTAGTAGCCGTATATTTCAGATTTTATTTGAATTTTTTTTTAGAATAATCAAGAAACTCCAACAAAATCTGGTTGTTCTAATTTCAAGAGTTCAATTGTTCTGAGGAGTACTCCCCGCAAAAGATTACTGTTAAATGATCCATTAGAATTATCATCCCCAGACAAATACAAAATTGTATGTATAAAGTTAATATTTGTATAAAGATAACTATTTTATTAATACTTAACAATATTTGTACTTAGGGCTCTCCAAATTGTAAAAAATTACGTACCGATGTGGCAGTTGAACTTCCAGAAGATAATTGTCTTTTGTCTGCTTTGAAATCATTGTCTTCAGATCAATTAATTGGTATTATTGGACAGATTGTCATTGATCATCCAAGCATCGAAAAGGTACATATATGTTCAATTTAATTTAAAAACAACTATATAGATATTTATTTTGTTAAAAAGGAGATTAGATCACATTTCCCTGTTGCCGACTTAAAGCCTCTTGAAGAGCGTATTTATTATTTGCGACGTAATATTTACAAGGCTTTACCAAGTAGCCGATTGATTTCAAAAACTGATCCAACTGCCTATAACAGAGTATCAACTCATGTCTTAGCATTCAAGGTAAATTTATTTCTTGTTTTATTTTCTATTGACAATATTTAAATCAGATTTATTTTTCAGAAATGTGTTGTTGATCAAGGTAGACGCTTGGTAGAGAGCAACCAGTGGCCAATTGTTATGGACTATGTGTTTATGGCATGGAAACACGTTCGTAATACTCCTATATGGGATAATCCTGCCCACAATGCTGCACGTCGACAGTGTTTCAAATCACTATCAGCTCAATGTATAACTGCCCTCAAACACATGAAGGACACTATGAACCAGCAAAGCTGTGACAATTACAAAAACCAGTAAGTTTTTCTTTTTAACCTTTTAATTACAATTGATAATCAATGATTATATTATAGCAAACTAGTTGTGTTTTTAATCATTGTATTTATTAAAACTGTTGGTGTTTTATCTGTTAACATTAGATTGAAGCTGTTAGTTGATGACAGTGAAGACATAGAATGGTGTCTGCATTTCCTAAACATTCGTGAGTGACCATATTGGTTTGGTTTTCTCTGTTATTCTTTTCTACTTTTTGTCTTGTAGCAAACTTATATTTGTTACTGGACAACATTTTGACTGTAGGCAATTATTTAGCTACACACACTATGTAACATTGCATTAATTTAAAATATTAGTAAATTTATTTTAATTGTATACCTATAAAAATTAATGTTTTCTACCAATATGTGAATAATGTATGGTGTATTGTGTTTTATTTCTGAAAATCCTGTAATTGTATTAATTGTGTAAACATAACCCACCCCAAATATTTAATTTCTGCACAAATTGTTGAATTTGCACCAATACCATCAAACAATTGTATTTATGATTTTTTTTTTTCGGGTTTTTTTTTGTTTTTATTATCTATTATTTATTTCATGCACCATTGTCCTTTTTTTCTATTAAAATGTATTATTTATTACAAATATTTAATGTTCATAAAATGTGCGACCAGTAAATATGATTAATTTTTACAGATTATTATTAGTAACAATTTTTTATTGTAGTAAATTCATTTTTTTTTCCTTAACTTATTGTTAAAATAAAATAGAAATTGTGCGTATTAATTATACACAGTATACTGAAAATAATTTATTATTAAATTCAATAAATTAGTTTAACTTAAGACTGTAGGTGTGAACTCAGTGTTGTACGTATTACTCAAATGTGTGCAATGCATATAATTTGAATACTTCTAAATAGACTGTATAGTTATTTTTAGTAAAATAAATTAAGTAAATGTACTTAGATTTAAAAAAAAAAAAAAAATGTTCCATGTACAATTTTATACTTAATATATAAATAATTTTATGTTAATTTTAACTGTGAGTAATATTTGTGGTATTTGTAGACAAATGTATAATTATTATTTGCTGAAATGTATCAATCTTAATTCTAAATAAATGCTAATATTTTTAAATTTTTTCTAAAAAAAATTGAAATGTTAAGAACAGTGCCCAAATTACAAAATGTTATAAGTTACAAGAAAACATGAAAACATATAGTATGTTTAGCTTAATGAGAGTAGACTGATATATAGATTTTTCGTTAAACAAAGAAAGAACTAGGTTCATGTTATAACTAGAAACCTATGAAATGATAAGTACTATTAAGACTCGGATGTATATGGAATTTCTTTACAACAAGTACTGGATTTCAATTATCTTGGAGTCAATTTAATCAATAGGAACTGCATGCGAAGTAAAGGTGTAAGGAAGATTTACAGATTTGTATACCCTAGCTTATATTTGAGAGAAAAATAATGAAATTAAATCACTGAAACTATTGTACAAAAATATAGAACAAAGTACAAGACTTGGAAAAGGCTGGTCACATTTAAGATCAGAAAATAGTATAACGAAATCAGAACTGTCTTGTGAACAACATAAATAGGAAAAGACTTTGTAGTCATCCAATGCAACGATGGTTAGATACAGTTAAAAGAAATTTAATAGATTTGAAACTAGATTGCGTACATGAAAGGGAAGAGTGGTTTGTAAAAGCAAAAAAAAAAATTCAATAAGAAAATTATATTAACACAATATTGAATCAGTAAAAAAACTAAGAAGTAGTCATATTAATGTACCACATACTATGGTTTCTTTAATAATGTAGTTCAGGAAATGAATTAATTTAAAAAAATATTTCCAGTAGGTCATATGGTGTACAAATTAATGTATTGTAAGGAGAAGGTGAAACAACTTCACCATCGAGAAGATTACAAAAGTAGGACTTGTAAACAATTCCATGAATCAGCTTGAGTCTTGAGATTGGAAATTTAACATGAGAAGCTCTGGGCAATAGTTTTGTGGAGGAAATGTAATTTTTAGCTTGAAACCCACAAAATCTGACGTTTTATGGATGTGATTAATCTGTTGGCAGTAGACTGCAAAGTCAAGGGTCCAAACAAACAACAGAACCATAATCAGGTATAAGCCTAACTAGCACATAGAACAATGACTTGAAGGAGCTAGATAGCTTAAACTCAACGACTAACCTCTTTATAAAACCTAATCATTTTAGTGCTTTACATGCAAAAAGGTAAATTTGAGATTTTAAGTTAATAAAAGAGGGACAATTACAAAACCAAGACCTAGAACTTTATTAGTCACCGATACGAGGATGGTTTCATTAATAGAGTATGGAAAGGTGAAAGGAGAATAACTTCTGGTAAAGGTCATTAACTTCCGTTTTTTTTTTTTACATTTAGAGACAGGCCAATGTTAGCTCTCCACTCAACAAATCTGTCTCCTTGAAATGCACCCAACTACCAAGACTTCAATGAATGGGAGACCAATTACTACCTTGGGGTTCACCAAACGTAACAATAAAGGTATGGGATTTAGAATTAAAAAATTAGTTTATTGGGTCACTTTATGCACAGAAAAGGTAACAGAAACAAATTCCTAGAACTGGAAGAACAGAATAACAAATATAAAGAAATCACAGTTCAGATAAAGAATTTCTTATTAATCATCATAATTAAGTAAAATTGAAAAGTATACAATACACAAGTGCATAAAGTAAGAAACTCTCGTGAGGATATTAAAGGAAGGGTTGTTTTAATCCTAATTTAAAATTAAAATGTATTATTAAAAATAGCGAATAAATAATGTTAATAGAACATTTCTAAACGATTCAAAATGTAACATGTGTGTTATACTTCTGCTTTTTAATTTTCGAATACATAAATTACAGCCAATACATATATTATTATCATGAAAATTATAGACCTTTAAGTTTATAACTATTGAAATAATTTTGTCCCTTGCTACTAATTAATAATTAAATTATCAACTGGGCTCATTTTTGAAACATTTTTTTTTATCATTTGCTTAATATAATATAGTTGTGATAAAATATTTATTTTTTTTAATATGATTATTACTTACCCTTGTCCCTTTTACTTTTTTTTTCGTAAGACAGTAGTGTAACAAATTTAAGCATTTAAATATTAACAGACATACTACGTTACTTAGTACATAATGTGTATAATGTGTAAAAAACATTATGGAGCTTTGTATTTTATATAAGACGCATGATTAATTTTTCAAATAAATAAAACAGAAAGTAACTGGTCATTTGAAAATTAAATTTATTTTTTATAATAAACATTAAGACTGTCTAAAATATAATAACGGTCTTTTGAAAACAAAAATAATATTAAATACTAAAGATAGTGTATTTCAATTTCTTATCCAATAATTCAATGATAATAATTTACTATGTTATTTTATTCTTTTGGACACTTAAAATCTAGTAAAAACAAAAACAAATTTAATATCCTGAAAAAGCTATCAACAATGCTCCAGACATATTAATACCGTTGGAATGATAAATAAAAACAATGAATTAATATACTATGCAATCTATGAACAATCTAAATTATACCTCAAAACTGTATGATAAAGGGTATTAATAATTTAAAATGTTAAATTGATGATAATTGATAATATATGTGTACCTGCACAAATAACCATCGATTTATAAGTTACTTGAAAATGGGAATGTAGTTATCCATGCGTGCACGATGCTTTTGCGACACACACTCAGATATCCACACAACATTTCTGCATTCTTGTTCTTTAAGTTTCAAATAAGAGTAAAAAACACCGTAATGGAATTGGCGCATGAATGCATTAACATTCAACTTCACTTCATGTTCAAAAAAACGATCTTCAAGAGTTTTTTCACCAGGATTAGTACCAGCGCCATCAAATAGAGCACTGTACTCAGCAAAGTATTCAGCAACAGCTTTAACCTAATATATTATAAAAAGAATATGATTAATTATTATTTTCTAAAAACAATTGTCTTTCTATTATGTTGTGAATGTTACCTGATCGTAGTCATCCGCTCTAGCTAAAGCCGCCAGACCATCTGGATAAAGTTTACCACATCTTGGATACAACTTAGCTCTATCGTCTTTAGTCAATTCTGTTCCAAAAGAGTTGATTGTTATGTTAATTGCTCTTCTATCAGCTTCAAACGATAATATTTCACACATAGTGTCAGCAGTGATACCTCCAAGCTTTTTACAAAAATCATAAAAAGATTCCAAGTACGCCTTATAAAGAGTATTACGAATAATTTCAATGTTCATTTCGTCAAGATCCTGTTCGCTAATGCAATCAACAAAGAACGGAGCCAATGGCGTGTCAACCAACACAGCATTATAAAGCTCAGCTGGAGTAGCAGCAACATGTATTGCTTCCATTTGCTCAAAACTACCCAATGGATGGCACTTTGGTATCAATTCAGATATGGGGCGCTGGTGAAGTGTTCCGGTGATCAACAATATGATGTTGTCAATCATGTAACTGTACGTTATGTAATCGAGGAATGTACTGAGGGGTTCCACGGCATGATTCCGCATGTGTTGAAATTCAATCACAAGTTTCTCGCGCAACTTGTCATCGATGACGGACACAGCCAACGGGCTAGGTTCATTGGCCAAAAACTGGCCGTAGTCTGTTGATTGCAAATGAAGTTTGAGATCGTCCAAGGTCTCGCACTGCTCAAGGTTCAGGTAATCGGCATGTCTGAGTATGCCACACTTGAAGCCCCGGCACAATCCTTCCAAGTAGCCGCCGTCGATATTGAAGAAACAACCAGTGTCCACCATGATTTCTTTAGTCGACCTGCAAACAACAAAGTTAAAGCGACCGATCAAAAACGAGACCGTTCACGCCCAAAATCCCCACTGAATCGCCCGAAAATTGATGAGTAGTATGAACAATATGTAAACAAGCGGTGTTGAAACCTAATCGATGGCGATCGGGAGGATGCGGACACGGGCTTGTTCGGGTTCACTGCGCTTACCTGAGAGGGTTCTGCCGATAAAAACGGAACTGTCCGCTGCAATTTAAATATTTAGCACACTGAAGAAAACGAAATTACGTTAGGGCACAAATACAGCACACAGTACACTGTGTCTAGAAGTAAAAATTATAGTACACGCCTTAATTTTTATCAATTGACAATCATCGAGAGTCACAGATAATAGACATAATGT